GATTGGTATTTTGCATATTTGACCTAGTTGTGCTGGGATTTGGACTGAGTGACCTTCTACATTGTTGTAGCCCTGGTTCTTAGCTTCGAAACGGTGGGTCTTGGACCTCCATCTGATACTCGTAGTACCTTTGGTGCCATTACCGCAAAAGGACGTCAAAACTGTTTTCTGGTTTTGAGCAATTGTGGTTAATTGCTATGTGATTGGGTTTGATTGTAGGTTGGAAAAGAAAGGAATTAAGGGGAAATGCTGTCCGATTTTTAATAGCATTGGTTACCTTAAGTTTCAAGTGAAAGGCTTGGACTTGAATGATGGAATTGGCTATATTGGACGAGGATTGTGAGCCGTGGAGGTGAGTGACCTCAAACTCTTTCTAAAATTATTTATGAACCGCTTTCCCGCATTATTTACTTTTGAGCTGTTTTCAAAGTTAATTTTGGAACTGTTTTCTTACATATCATGCGTGCTTGCATATCAGTGTCTTGTTGTTATTGCTTTTGCTTTCAATGATTGCTAAACGAGTTTTCGAGGCGAGTGTGTACTTTATCGCACTTAGCCTAAGTGATTGTGAAATTTTAATGATTGAGCGATTGAAATGTTAATTGTGCATGAATGTAAGCCTTTTGGGCTGAACTGGCCATTGCCCCTTGTTACCGGTCGTCTCGAGCCAGAAGCGGACTCGGTCGGGCGACTAGGAACTTGGGTGAACGTTTCGGTATACTCGAGTATTACCTTGTAGGTTGGTGGAGCCTGGCCAAAAGCCAGGGACGGGGTGAATGAATGCACGAATGAAACTAAATGAAATGAAATGACAGGAGAACGAACGTATCCTTTTCATGAATGTTACTATCGCTTTCCATTGTAAATGTTTCGTGCATTATTGATATTCCATATTGAAATGACATCATTGAAATGAACGATTGTGAAACTGATTTGATAACTGATTTTACTGGTTACTCGCTGAGCTTCTAGCTCACCCCAAAAATGTTTTATTCCTCTCCACAGGGCTCAAGGCGAAGGAGTGGCTTGTAGTGTTTATTCATGGATTATCTCATGTATGGATTGAATTTGGATTCCTTTTGTGTAATCATTCATATCGGGATTGTATTGAACGTTTAGAATTGATTGGATGTGTAATAGTCAAGATTTGGACTTCCTCCTGTATAATAATTGTGATCAAGGATCAGAGTGGCAGTGGAAGCGTGGACGCTTCGCTTTTGATATGTAAAGTTTTGGAATATTTGATTTTTATTTGAGACTTTATATTGTATTCTGTTTGAGGAATATAGTGAACGACTGAGTCCCGGCGAGAGCTGGGCAGGCGGCCCGCCGAACCCTCTGGTTCGCCTTAGGGGGAGGTGGGGTCGTGACATATCAAGCATGTCCTATTTGCATGGTTGAGACAACTTGCGTACATTTACCACACCGAAAAAAGTTGTGTTACACAGGTCATCGCCGCTTCTTACCCATTGACCATTCTTGGCGGCGAGAAAAAAACCTTTCGATGGCAATGTGGACTTTAGGAATCCTGTTGCACCTTTATCTGGAAATGAAATTTTGGATCAGGTACAAAATATAGAGGTAAATTTTGGGAAGACCAAGGCGCAATCCAATGCAAAGAAACGGAAGCGTTCTGAGAGTGGTTTGAACTGGACAAAGAAAAGTTGTTTCTTTGAGTTACCATATTGGGCAGACCTCCTTCTTAGGCATAATTTGGATTTAATGCATGTGTCAAAAATGTCTCAGAGGATGTCATTGCCACAATTATGGATATTGAAAACAAAACCAAAGACCACTGGTTGTGTCGTCAAGATTTGAAGGATTTGGGTTTGAAAAAAGAGCTACATTTGATTCCAAATGGCGACTCTTATATCATGCCACATGCCTGTTACAACCTAACCAAGGAGGAGAAAAAAAAAGTATGTGAGTTCTTGAATTCTGTCAAATATCCAGATGGGTTTGCCTCAAACATTTGCCGATGTATAAAGAATGGCCAGTTTCAAATTTCTGGAATGAAAAGTCATAACTTCCACATTTTTATACAAAGGCTACTCCCACTTGCAATCCGTGGAAGTTTAACAAAAGAAGTTCGGCAAGTGCTATTCGAGTTAAGTGAATTCTTCAAAAAATTATGTGCTAGAACATTACATAGAGAGGTTCTGGAGGAGTTAGGCCAAAAAATTGTAGTCATCTTATGTAAATTAGAGAGGTTGTTCCCTCCAGCTTTCTTCGATATAATGATGCACTTGATGGTTCACTTGCCTGCTGAAGCTATCCTTAGCGGTCCAGCTCAATATCGTTGAATGTTCCCACTTGAGAGGTAGAGAGTTGTACATATAGCCTTGTAAGTTTTTTTTTTTATTAAAGACCACTGCAATCTTCTAATTTCTTTTATTTTCCTTTGAGAAAGACATATGGCAGTGCTGAAAAGTTATGTTGGGAATAAGGCCCGACCAGAGGGATGCATTGCTGAGCGGTACATAGATAAAGAATGCTTGACATTCTGCTCTATGTACCTAGACAATATTGATACGATATTCAACAAGCCTGAACGAAACAATGATAGGGGATATAATACTGGTGAATTGTCCATTTTTTCATGCCCTGGTCGTCCATTTGGAGGGCCCAAAAGGGGCAATTTCCTTGACTCAGAGCTGGAAAAAATTCATACATTTATACTGAACAATTGTGATAAGCTTGAGGACTATATAAAGTAAGCTTTTAATGTTAATTAAAGCTTGTACCTTTGTTCTATATTTTGATATGTTCATAAAAAATTTATGGGTTTATTGTTTTTGTCTATAGTGCGCATAAAATGGAGTTGGAGGCAGAGAGTGCTGAAAATGTGGACCAAAAGGCACGATAGAGAATTTGCAAAATGGGTTAAACAGCGTGTATGTTTGTAGTGTCATTTGGACAGCCTACTTTTTTTTATCTCTAATACAATAAATTACTGATTTAGGTGAAATTGTCCTTACTAGGTTATGTATGGCAGCGAGGCTTCCAATGGCGAGCTTCGATCATTAGCATTTGGGCTAGACAACCGAGTTTGCATGTATACGGGCTGCATGGTTAATGGGTATAGGTTTCACACGAAAAATCGGGAAAGGCAAAGAAAGACTCAAAACAGTGGTATTGTAGTTAGAGGTGAGCATGGTAACAATATGATCGATTTTTATGGTGTGATACAACAAATTATTGAAGTAAGATATTGGCTCGGGAAAAAAAAGGTTAAAGTATTCAAGTGTGATTGGTGGAAGACCGATGATAGTGCTGGGATGCAAGTGGACAAAGAATGGGGTATCACAAGTGTCAATTCGTCCAGAAAATGGTATGAAGACCAACCATATGTCCTCCCTCAACATGTCCAACAAGTCTTTTATCTTGAAGACTTGAAACTAGGCAAAAACTGGTTTGTCGTCGAGAGGTTCAGTCCAAGGCACTTGTATGATGTTCATGAAGATTTAGAAAAAGAACCAATTGTTGAGGAAATATATCAAGAAGAACCAACTGGGGATTTCACTATTATAATAGACCTCCACAATCCACCATTACTTTCAAGAGAAGACAATGAGATACCGAAGGTTGTACCTTCATCCATTGTACATGCTGAGAAGTCAAAAAATAGCTCAAATGGCACCTTTGAAGACTTCATTAATGATGATGATGAAGTGAATGAACACGAGTCTAACAATGAGGAAGACGAAGAGGAGATTCTTAGTGATAATGAGATCGATTCGGAATAGGTGAAATTGATGAGGACTACATGACACTAAGTTTAATCTCTTTAACTCCGGCTAACTAGTTTTTATTCCTAAATTATACTATGCTGTAACACTAACTTCTTGTTACTTTTAGATGGCTGGACCAGGAAAGCGAGGCCAAATGCTGCAGAGAAAAGCTCAAGGTGCACAACAGCCTGCAATACCTAATTCAGTTGGAAGCAATCAACCAAGAAGTGCATCCAAGAGTGTATCCTCAGAGAATGCAATATCTGTCACTCCAACTTCTTCACCTAGAGAAATTGCTAGTGAGAGTAGGATGATACACCCTCAGACATCTGAGTCTCGTGCATCCGGAGAAAATGAGACTATTCCAGTTTCGGATAAGCAAGAAAATGGTAAGTTAGACTTCATTTTCACGGCTGAAATTAAAAACCAAGTTTCTATTTCATGACTGACTTTGTTAATGTGGTCAAAGTAATGTATGGACTGATATTTGTTAATAGCTATGCTGCTGTCAGCAAGAAGAAGAGGACGTACACGAAATCTATCATTATCACAAAAAAAGGAGGCTAATGAGACGCTCACCATTGAAATTGATGATTGTATTCGACGGATTGTTGGGAAGGATTCTCAATACTTCATCACAGAAGGGGGTTGTGTTGTTAGGAAGGCTGCTAGGCTTAATGTTCCAAAGTGATCCCATCTCAATCCCGGTGACCGAGAAGGCATATACAGCACGGTTACGGTATTTGTTGACCTGCTAATACTCTAATTTCATCCAGAAAGTATGAGAGATTTTACTGCTTTAGATTTGCACTACTTTTGCACTCAAATCTTCCTTAGATTTAATATGTCATTTTCACATAGATTTGCTTGGTTTTAAGTAGATTGCACTGTTATTGTAGGATGACTTTCGATTTCCAGAGCACATCACCTCAAAAACTGCTATTAATAGGCAGTTAAACACACAATATCGAAACCATCGATATCGGCTTCACAAGTATTTCCAGAGTTTTGAATCAAGGCAAGAAGCATTGAGGCAAGTTCCTGAAGGTGTGAGTGAAGAAGATTGGAAGTGGCTGGTCAACTACTTTGAAAATGATGAATTTAAGGTTAGCTTGTCAAAATAACCTATCCTTTTATTAAATTTCAGATTTCACTTCACAAATTTGCTAATCTTTGTCAGTTAAAATTTTCACTAATTTGTGGCAGAAAATTAGTGAACGTAACAAGCAAAATCGTGCCAAAAATGACTGCCACACTACTATTGGCACAAAATCGCTTGCAAAAGTTGTTGAGGAAAAGGTAATCTGAAACCCAGCCAACACTTGTACATGTACATCCTTTTTTTCATATGACTGAAAATGAAAAAATTGAAAATTTAGACAGAAAAGGAAAGAAGATGTCGAGCTTTCAGAGATAGACATGTTTGAGTTAAGTCGAAAGTCAAAGAAGTCGGGGGGCTGGTAAATGACAAAGCAAAAGAGACCTTGGTGAGCTGTTTCACTTGGATAATGGATTTTTAAATTATTGACATCCATTCCAGCTACATAATGATCATATTTTTTACTTGTCTAGGACAAAATGAGGGAATTGCAGGCTACAACTTCAATGACTAGCAAGGAAATATGCGAGCAAGAACTTGGTTACATACCTGGACACATCCGCGGTCGTAGTGCAACCAAGAAGCAAGCTGCTGAGGTAGAACGCTGGAGGCATGAGATTGAGGACAGCCGAAAAAGAGCAGATGAAACAGAAAAATGAGCTACAGAAGTAACTCAACAATTCACTGCTCAGCAAGAGTTGATTAAGACCTTGCAACAGCAACAAACAGAAACAAGAAGCCTGTATGATGAGTTAGCTAACCAGCTGAAAGACTTGCGCAAATAAGCAACTTCTGTGTCAGGTATAAATAAATTGTTTGCTCTTCATAGTTATTACAATTGAGGCACTTGAATTCTGGTTCTACAAAATAGAGATTCATTTTTAATACAATTGGGTTGCTTGATGGCACTTGAAATCTGGTTCCACCAAATCTGATTCCTGTTTAATCCAATTGAGTTGCTTGAGGCTGATTTAGGTGCTTGAAATCTTGTTCATGTTTAATTACAGCCATTGAGGTGCTGGATGTTGCAACCAAAACTTTAGTGTTTTTAAAGCAAAGGTGTTTGAATGTTGGGATGTATTCCACTTTTTTCTTTGTCGAACTCATCTAAATTTTTCTGTATCAGAATTTTTTTTTTGTGCTAAGGAAAAAGAGGCACCTGTGATTGTGTGTGTGTGTGTGTGTTTTTTTTTCTTGATATACTGTGTGGTTCACGATCATCTAGGCTCTCAATGATTTTAGGATTTTATTGTTGTTATTGTTATTGTTATTGCATATATATTTGTGAACATGCAGATATTTATTGTGTTTGTATTGTTATTCTATATTTCACAGAATATACATTCAATGTCTTATTTGCTATAATTTCACTTTATTTTTATGTTAAGCAATTTACTTAGATTGCTATAATTTCAAATTAGAGTGACATTAGTTTTTATAATATGGTGCCTATCTAGAAGTGTAGTTCCAGTTTTAACACCAGTGCTCATTGCTTCAATTTTGGTAACGTGTAGGTTCTAACACGATTCCCAAGAAGAAGAAGCCAGTCATTGCTGTGAAGATGGTTTTTGATTTGAAGACTACAAGGCCTATCATGCTCATGCTTTGTTCTAGATGGGAATCGTGCTCATATTTTTGTATAGAACTTTACTACTCTCTATTGTCGATGGGAAATCACTAGTATTGTAACTGAATGGCTTATTTTGGATGGTGCATGGTTTATGACTCATTTGAGGCAACATTTATATATATATGTATTTGGGTTGATCTTCTATTGGAAATGAATATTGGCTTTCTTTTCGTATGTTGGCTTTTTTTTTCCTTGCTACTGAATGAACGTTTTGTGATTGTTGGCAGCTATGTTGCGTAATTAACATTAGATTATTGCTTTTTACAAAAAAAATAAATGACAATAAAAAAGTTGTCACTGCCAACAAGTTTCACTAGTGACACCAGGAAGTCGTCACTTTTTATGGATGGAAAACAATGACAACAAAAGTCGTCACTGAACGGAAGCATAATGTGACAACTCCAAGGGTTGACTATGACAAGAATTTAGCCAGCTTAGTGACAATAAAAGTCGTCACACAATGTACAACAATGAGTGACGACAAGAGTCATCACAAAACAGAAATCGTTTGTGACGACTTTCAACAGTCGTCACATGGACCCCCTTTTGTGACATAGAACTAGTGACAGCTCTGTGACAGCAGTAAAAGTCGTCACTGACTTTTTTTGTGACAACTTCTGAATTTTTAGTGACGACTTTCGCCTGTCACAGAAACACAATTTTCTTGTAGTGCTAGTTTGACATTTCACCACAACAGAGGCCAACGACAACATTGATAATGTTGTGGTTTAACTGAGTATTAATAATTTGTGATTGTATTCACTCTTCATTATTGTGGATTATTACTCATTAAAATTTCTTTAATTATGTTGGTGAGTAAGGCAACTATTTTTGTCTAGAAATTTTCTTCTACTAAATGTTAAAATGTCAAATAATAAAATTCAATTTGACCCCTCCAACTTCATTACCACGATCTAAATACGACTAATATTACAAAATAATAGGAAATTACTTGTAATAAAGTGGGACATTTAGTTCTTAATGTATAAAATTCATCTCAAATTAATCCATAAAGTTAAATTCATATATAATTTTAGACTCCAAAATATAAAACTAGTCTTACTTTAGTCCCTAAAATACAAAATAATTCTTGCATAAGTATATAATTTGTGTCACTTCCTTCAACTTTTTTTTTTTTTAACTTAAGTGAGATAAATTTTATATCTTTATGGTTTCAACGTTGAACTAGGCTTGGGCTATAGTGATTAATTTGCTATGATAACCTTGCCAAATAAGTGATAAGCCACCGAATTATAAGCCATTTGTTCCTGTACCCATAAGCTAATGATATTGGTTTGATGTTTCGCTATAATAAACATATTTCTACTTTTGTAAATTCAAATCAATGTAGCAGATATTGATCTTTATTGTTCTTGGTTCGTGTTTTACTGTTGGATTTTCTTGCTAATTACGCAGTAGAGGGAACAAGTTATTGATAGAACTTTTCAGAGGAAACAAGTTATTGTAATCAACAAGATTTGATTACAGTAGCAAGTGACATGCATATGATAAAACATATAACTTATTGATACATCTCGGGCCTTCTTTTTCCGTGAGTAATCTGTGGTTCACACTTTTGAACTTATCATTGGTGATCAGTTACTTGAATCATGGTGAAAATAAATAAATAAGAGAATTACTTTTGAACCAATATATATCAAGGGATGAATTTTGCTGTATGTTTTGAACCAGTATATGCAGTTGAACAAGATCACTGCGAAACACTTTGTTTATTTAAGTTTCAAGAGACCTTTGTGGATCAGATTTTGAGTTTTCCTATGCCTCTTAATAACATTTCTTTTGAGAATTTCCTATGCCATTGATTGAACCTTAAAATGCTGATTTCAATTGATTTCAACCATCATACAATTTATACAATATCTCAATTTTGTTATATTTTTTAGGTTATATTTATTGGATAAGAGTTGGATGAACTCAGCAAATGGTCATTCTAAGGAGTATTTAGATGGTATCAATGATTTCATAGAATTTCCTAAGCAACATACAGGAGATGAAGGCATGATTCCTTGTCCTTGCAAACATTGCATGAATTCAAAATGGGGGACTCTCCGTGAAGTTAAATCACAATTAAAGTACCCAGGAATTGACAAATCATACACATTTTGGGTACATCATGGGGAATCTTTAGATAGTGATTAGGACAATGACGATGATAAGGATGATTTGGAGAATGACATAATTGAGCATAAAACTATAAATGAGCAAGATGAGGTTCAACAAATGTTAGAAGACAGGTAGAGGATTACTATTTTTGAAACTAGACCTGTTGGTCCAGAATATACTCCTGAAGTTGACACAGCCCAAGAAGATGAGATTGGTCAATTTAATAGGCTACTCAAAGACGCACAAGATGAGTTATACCCTAGTTGTAAGCTGTCACTATTGTCTTCACTTTTGAAATTGTTGCATGTGAAGTTACTACATAGATGGAGTAACAAATCATGGAATATGCTTGTTGAAGTGCTAAAAGAAATGTTACCAAAAGGTGAAAGGTTTCTTGTCAATTATTATGAAATTAGAAAAATTTTAGATGACATAGGTTTGGGATGTGTACGAATCCTTGCTTGCAAAAATGACTGTATATTTTGGAAGGAGCACAAAGACAAGCAAGAATGTCCAGTATGCCTAGAGTCAAGATGGAAAACTAATGACGGGAAAAGACAGATTCCTCACAAGATTCTACGGCACTTTCCATTGAAATTGAGATTACAGAGGTTATACATGTCAAAGCAGACAACATCAGACATGAACTAGCATAAAGAGAAACATATTATGGAGGAGAACACTATGAGACATACATCTGATTCTGAGGCATGGAAGCATATAGATAGGCAATTCCCTTGGTTTGCAGAAGATTCTCGTAATGTTTGACTTGGATTAGCAACCGATGGTTTTAATCCTTTTGGACATGGCCTGTTATTGTCATGCCTTACAATCTTCCACCTTGGCAGTGTGTGAGAGATGAATACTTTATGATGCCATTACTTATTCCTGGACCTAGATCTCCAGGAAAAGACATATGTGTATATGCGGCCATTGGTTGATGAACTTAGTGAACTCTGGGCAACTAGAATTAAAACTCACTACAAGAAATTTGGTCATCAGTGACAACTGATTATTATCACAGAAAATGTAAAAGTCGTCACTAACGTGTTTTATTGACAACATTTTAGTTGTCACAAAGTCGTCAGTGAATCTCTGTCGGTAAAGGTACACAGTCACAACATTAAATGTCGTCAGTAAATGTTATTCATTAGTGACAATATTTTTTGTCAATAATAAATACATATATAGTGACAACATTTCACCTTATCAATGATGCTCGTAGTAGTGTCGTCAGTAAAATCCTTTTCATAGTTGCCGTTGGTATTGATTGGTTACTCACAACTCTTTAGAGTCGTCACTAAAAATGGCTCTTTACTGACAACATTTATCATCACTATATACCTTTTTGTTATACACCCTATTTAGTGACAACTTTTTGTTGTTAGTGGAGAAATCTGATTAGTAACAATATATTGTCACTATGAAACCTGATACAAACGATTGTCCTAAAAGCAACCAATCCAACAATACATCAAATTAGAACCATATAAGGCCTGCTAGTTAATATCTAAAAGCATCCATTATACTAAAAAGGAATCCAACAATTCATCAAATCAAAAGAACCATAAAAGGCCTGCTAATTAATAGCTAAAAGCATCCATTATGCTACAAAGGACCAAAATATAATGTTTAAGTTCAATGTCATCCTACAAATACTACAATAGAAGTGGTACTGTGTAACCCAAATTGTTCATGCAAAGTCAATCAAGTTTACAAAAAGCATCCGAGCCTCAAAAGTCATAAAAACTTCCAAAACACTTCACGAGCCAAAAAAGCAGCTTTATCTTCATCCTTCTTGAGTCCACTTAGTAGCTGTGAATTTTGACAAAATCTGACATAGTAGCATTTGTCTGCGTAAAGTAGTATAACAATAGTAAGTAACAAGCATTTTGAAAAGGAAAAAA